TACAATTTTAACCCAAGATAAATATGTGTTTCTTCAGATTTAAAAATGTAAACGCGTAAATATTATTTACCTACTATTATTACGTAGATTTTGTATAGAGTTTTGAATAAGATTTTTGTATAAAGAGAGATTAAAAAATATATATGTATAACTTTTGTATCTCACAATCACTATGCAATATTTTAATACTGCATCCTGGAGATTAATAAAAATTCTGATACGAAAATGTCACACCGGTTTTTAAATTGTAAGCAATTCAGTTTTAACATAAATTTTTTTTAAGCGGTATCCATAATTAATGTAGAGAATCTAAGCCGATTTTTAGTACTTTTTTAATTTAAAAAAAAACCTAAATTTGAGAAAGTTATAGCTTTGCTAAAGTTTCTTTGATGACGGCAACTTCAAAAGATTTCGCATATAAGGTATGACGTCACAGCACATTTTCGTGTACTATATTTTCTTCAATTTTGAAGATATTGCAAAAATTCAAAAAGTTTACAAAGAAAGTATGCCAGGATCTATCAGACTGCTTAATAAAAAAAATTTATGTTAAAACCGAATTAAGTTTGGCCAATGATATCGCGTAGAGCACGCATTGTACAATCCCACACGCATATCGATACGATCCAAATCCCGAAATAATCTCGCAAATAACAAATAAACTAACAAATATTTCAACGATACCTCGATACGTTGTCACGCCTCTTCGTTCTCTATTGTTCCTTCAACGCTTTTTGTCACCTACAAAAATTATAATCACACTCAAGAATACGATCGCGCGGCATTTTAAATGGCACTCGCGATATAATTACACGCGATCCTCGCTTTACTACATCGTGATGAAAAGATAACGTGAAAAAAGTACGATCGTACCAAGCCACGACGAGTTTACGCGGTTGATAATTATTGAAATACGAGGTAAGATAATTATCGTGCTCATTAGTCTAACGTATATAATGATGACTCAGTTTTGCGAGTTTCGTTAAAATTTTACTTTGATACCACGCGATTAATAAATCAGGTTAATGGCTTTTAAGCCGCGATGAGCTGTCGAAAAGCGCACGATTGAAATTAAATGTTATATGCGAGCAATATATTTCGAATACATAAATCTCGCAAAAGTATGCCGAGTATGCGTATAAAAAATAATTGTTGTATTACTTTCCATTACATGATTCGACAAGCTATATATGTATAATATAACTCCGCACGTTCTTCATTGCAAATTACACAACTAACAATAAGCTATATTGACTCGATAAAGTTCATCGAAATGCGCAAGCTTATCATCCACAATACGTGCTGTCTCTAGAGAATGGTGGCAGTTCTGTACTTCTAGTACCTACTTGCTACTATAATATATACCGCGTTTCGAGTAATGACAATATTAACGACGACACACGGAATCGCTCGCGCCTTTCCAGTTCGAGTGCCGCAGTACGAATGCCATGGTAATACGGCGACCTTTCAGCGAGCCGTAAACAACAAATGCCGAGCATCGTTGGACTTTCTATACGAAATAGGTAACATGAAATATTCCCCAAAAATATTTTGTCGAAAGCTCGGCATTTCTTATTCCGCTTACCGCGCGCTATGTGGCTATCTTTACGTAAGATCACCGCGCTACAGCCGTGTGTTAAGTATTATCATCGCGTTATTGTCACTCGTGATCGCGGGAGATACCAGAAGCGACAAGTGACCGAGATTCTCTCTACATATAGGATAAAAATTGAATTAAATATGATCAAGATAAATTATAATCGCGCTTAAGCTTCAGAGAAGTTACGTAAATTACATTAAGCCATTTAAAAGGATAAGGGAAAATGGAATTGCTATCCTCTGCTTTTGTGAAAAAACGCGCGGCGTATATTAAGACCTTAAAATATCACAGAGCGCAATTTATAATTTCCGCTGCCTAGACCTTTGCTCCGGCAAAGTCCTCGACATAATAAATTCTCTCTATTAGTCGGTCGGCAATTGAAAATTCATACGTTTCGCTACTCGGCCGATCAAATAGAATTTGATTAATTAACGAGGCTAATTATCACGCACGGACACAGTTGTAAGCGATTATATGTACATCCGACGAAACGCTAATCGGATTAATGAATCGGCAGCTTTACGTTAGAAAGTACGCGAGCCGAATCGGAGAAACTATTTTTGTGCAAAAAGGGAACTGTACTTGTTACGTAGCAAGCACTAAGCTCGTTCTCCTACCAGTCATTAATATCGCAATAAAGCCGTGCACAGAAAACCAACGGAAAAAGTTAATGCCGCGGAACGTGATGTACGCACAGTTACCATTAATTCCCCAGAGACCATACCTTTGCGAAGGGAAATTCTTTTTCACTACCAATGTTCCTTTTTCATATATTCGATAAATTTATATTCCATTAGAAACTGTCTTGAATTAAAAAGAATTGCCGGATTAAATATTAAATGTATAAGATCAATTCATTCCACTGGGGACTTGACCAAATCCACTGATCGAGATACGATTATTACGTTTAAAATATAAAATAGTTAAAAATAGAATTATTTCTCTCCGTTTTATATCAGAAAAATATTTTGTAATTTTCCATTTTAGATATTAACTATGTAAATTTCACGTGACAAATTAGAGATTTATAGCAAAGCTATGCGTTTCAATCTAAACAAACGGAATTATTATTCATCATTGACGCAATTCTCCCTCCCATAAATATTTAATATGACGAACTAAGATATTTTATTCGCAATTTATGCGTAGATCTATGAATCATTCCTACAAAAGTTACGAGCGATTCTCTTAATGTATTAAGATAGTGGAATGTTACGTTACGTTGAAAACTATAGGACTGTCCCTATAGTAGAACCGCAAAGCCCACAGGGAAACCCGGACGCTATAGGTATTACGAGATATGTCATACCCACACAGACGCGTAACCAGTCGGCTTTACGAGCTTCTGCTTAATATTAAGTGTCTTATGAATACGAGTACGAATACACACACACACACACACACACACCACAAAGTTCTGTCTGCATGCATGTAGCTTTATGAATTAATGTGATTAATGCTTGTAGATAAGCGAGGTTAAAGGGGATGGTTTCTTTTAAAAAAAACCTTTGGAATGATCTTTTCTTATTATTCAGGCTAAAGGAAAGCAGAAGAAATCGATGCATCTCTTTTATATTCATCATGCGTATATTTAATATGTTTAATTCCGAAAAGATGCAATTTTTTCAGTATTAAATTATGTATATAAGATTAACATTTTAAAAATATGTAAGTATTATTGTACATAATATGTATTCACCTTTTTATGTATCGGACAGTCATCCGTGCAAATTGTATAAATTAAAAAAAAAGTACAATCTCGTAAAGTTGTATTTAATATCAAAAAGTATAATTTAAACGAGATTTATAATTAAAAATGAAGTATTTAATTTTCACAAATTCACATGTCGACGTTTGTGTTGTTTCACGCAAATGATTGAAAACTGAACATTTATACTGGTTTGAAATATTGCAGTTTCAAATGTATTTTATGTTAACAGAGATTTAGTTTTAGAGTTAAAACAGATATTTTTCAGAATTAATTTTTATAAACAAAATATATGTAGTATACCAAATAGTAGCAAAATAATTATTTATAAGCATTGATTTCTCTGAAATCTAGAGAGAAAATTGGTTGCAACGTAGAATTGATAGGCATGAAGTGAATTTATCCGGGATTACATTATTCTTTTTGAAATACGGTCTAAATTGCCTTCTGCTAAATGTCCTGCAGAAAAGGTTGATCCTGCATCTCGCGATCGCAAAACATACTGTATATATGTATATGTATATACATATTGTATGTATGTGTCAGATATGCGAGATAATCGATTATACAATCTGTGAAAAATCAGACAATAAAAAAAAATAAAACTATCAGAATTTTAAAAATTCGAAATCGTATTTAAGAAATATTGACACATTTTCAATATTGTGGAGGTGGAGATTAGATAAAGTATAATAACATTAATAACTAAATTCGTGAGAAAAACACCCCTATTTTAATTAATATAAAAAATATAGCTTATGATTAAAGCTTACGATATAGATTATAACCTAAGAAAGTATAAACTTATAATGGCTTTTAATAAAATATGACCCTCCTGGTTTTTCGTGAATAGTACACTGAGAGAAATAAATCGTTCAAAAATTAACAAACGGGTAATCCGATAACTTTCAATCGGAATTATAAAAAACGATCAAGGCCAAAATAATGTCCAATTAATGATATCCAGATATCATTGATAATTAATTGAATATCATAGATCGGACATTATTTTGGCCTTGATAGGCTTTTTGTAATTCCGATTGAAAGTTATCGGATTATACCCGTTTGTTAATTTTCAAACAATTGTCCGATTATTTAAACCTGGATTTTTCTCTCAGTGTAATAATTAATTACTCGCGCGCGAACGCCGTTAAAATTATTCCATGACATGGTTCTCGTAATCTCCACGAGCGTAACTCGACTCAGAGTCACGAAAACTTGAGATTTTCCGCGATTATGAAATATTCAGCAATTTACAATACTTTGTTGCTCAATGCAACGAGATACTTGCAATTAGTAATACTGACGAACAAAGAATCTCTTGTAGCAAGTAAATATATTGACTTGTTTGCAAATGCATAATGCGCTAAATAAACTGAAAATATGAAAAAACAAAGTTAAAAATGTACATTAATATGGAGAATATGAATTAAAGAAAAAATTTATACGTTTTTATTGTTTAGGTATCATTCAATATTATTTTCTGACGATTTATAAATATATAGATTTTCAAAGAAATTAGCTAATTTTTTATGCAAATTTTTTACAAATAGTAATCGATTAATTACTATTTGTGTAAGGATAAAAAAATGCCTTGACTGAATATTTTATCGCGGGTGGCAAGGGCACGTTTTGTCCTTCGCTTCACCTATAGATTCGGTCGACGCAAATAATAATAAAATGTCCACTCACCACTTTGTCGTCCGCGTAGATGATTGAAGATACCGGCGCTCCGCTGCTGGCGAACACAACGAGAAAAGCGACGACGGCTATGTAACGTATCATCTTCACGACGGTGCACATCTGTCCAGCTTCCCCGAAGAAGATCACCCACACGATTTGCAACACTCGCGAGAGAGATCCGATGTTCTCTACGATCGTGGGAAAGTTTCACGCAAACTCAACAACGATAAACCGCACTGTATCGAAGTCAAACTTCCCGTCGGGATCACACACTGCTACCGACTATCGACGGCTCTTCAAATCCCTTCGGAATATTCGCACAAAGATAAAAATTTCACCGGTGGATGTCGAGTCTCTCCTCGAGGTATTCGAGACGCGCGAATAAGTAGAACAGAATTGAGATTCCACTTGGCTAATCTATCGGATTTTTTCGAGATACCCCGCGAAACGTGAGGCAATCAAATTGAAGATTCCAACGAATGCGTCAAAGAATCCGTTCGGGACGATCGAAGCGCGAAGTAGCCCAAGTAAAAATCTCACCTAGTAATTTCTCAATCATACCAGAATAGTTGTCGGATGATCTTGGTCCTTTCGAAGCTTTCGAAGTAACCAAAGCGCGAATTATCTAAAATATAAATACCCGTTGGCTTCGTGCCTCTTTAAAAATAACTCTCGAGGCTTAAAGTGTATTTAAAAAACGCACCACGCTGCGTAATCAGTCGATCTGTTCGAGGTACTCGCGAAATAATTCACGACAGCGATCAATGTCTCGTATTTTCTGGAGCGACTAGTCGCGAGGCAGTGTCCATCGGATGAATGAATAGGTTCCGTGATTAGGATTAGGACGAATTTATCGACGATCATGGGGACGCTTGCGTGACCGGACGTAGTCTACGTTTAACGTCCACGTCTCCAGTCTTCGGTGACGAGCCGAGACTTTTCCCCTCACTATACGATTATTCCTCCCACCGACGGGTGCTCCTCCTGCTTCCTTTTTTCCTTTCCCACTTCTTCTTTGTCTTCCGATCGTGCGTCTGGACTGACCGCAACGACGACGGTCCGATGCCTCGCGTCGCTGCACGCTCCTTACTTACTTAACTTCTCTTCTTTCTTTCCTTTTTCCTCCTCACGAATCGGTCGACTTTCGTCAACTCGGTAGTCTTCCTGCGCCGCCCGCGGCGATAATGACGACGGCGGTGATTACCGGCTTCTTCGTACTTTCCTCCGGATTCGGGCTTTCCAGCGGCTGGCGCGTCCATCCGCCGACCTAACGAGATAGTTATAGCCGGTTAGAAAGAAAAGTAATCGAAACCTACCTTACTATTACTAATGCTTGCAATAAAAATATATTTCTTAAATCTTTTGTTCCAAACATCTGTTTGCGTTTCCTACAATATTAGTTAAAAATCTTACACAGCGTTTATTTATTTAACAAATAAAACCTTTTATTTTACTTAGAAAGACAATCTGAAAATTGCAATCCCATTAATTTATCTGTAAATTTGCTCAATTAAATAGCTCAATTAAATAGCTTGGTAACAAAATCTCAAATTAAAATTTTATTACGTTCATAAGATCGGTTTTGATAAAAAAAAATGAGCCAACTATCAAACACACAAAGTATACCGAAGAGATAGTATATCATTGTTACGCGATGAAGGGAGAATAAGAAAAGGAATGTCGGCTATACGAATCGAGATTCAGCCTCAACAGAAATTGTCTGAGGAGTGTGGGGACAAAAAGTATGCAAACTTCATTGGACCCTTTAGTTCCGAGTACGGTTCCAGAAGAACCATTCGACGATTCGCGCGAAACAGAGCTCTTTTGTATTCGGCAGATAAACGATTGCCGGACTTAATGGTCCCGAAGAGCCCAGATTTCTCGTCACCTTAGAGAAATATTAGAAGAGATGGGAGGGAAAAAAATAGGATCAAGTTGAATCTCAGCCAAGGGAGTCATCCAAAAAAGAATACCCTGGATTTTTATAAATCAAATATATATGACGCATGCGTGAAAGCTAATCGATGTCGTAAAGTCGCAATGTACATTTGCAAGATATTCCGAAAGTTTCTTTAAATTGTAGATACAAAAAAATTCGTTTTCAAATTAATACAATAAGGATAAAAGGAATATAATCAAATTTTTAATAAAATTTCTAATTTTTTTATATCGAAAGTCAATAAATTATAGAAAAAGATGGAATCTGCTGAAATTCTTTTTAATCAATCGCAAATCCATCAAAGAATCTGGAATCTTCGATTTGGAGAAAGCTTGATTTGGATATGTTGGTCAAAGAATTCTTTTTATTCAATATCGTGAAAATACGCGCCTGTGTTTCCGAGATTGATGAAACTTGGAAATATTTACGCCGCGCGTCCGAGAATAAGCTGAGCAAGTCTTTGAAAGAAATATTAAGAAAGCGGAAGTAAATAACAAAAAAGTCAGGAGAATATAATTATATCTCGCCCCATGTTTGTTAGATAAAGTTGCGCGCACGCTTGATGAGAATTTCGTTCGGTCTATTTTATTTTGTATGCATCCGCGATTAAAGGGAAAGTAATCTCGGCGAATCTTAGACTGATTAATTCACCAATGTCTAAGTTATTTTTCAATTTTGAATTCAATTTTAAATTTAAATTCCATATGTATAATTATACATATACTTTTTACACGGAATTTAGTGTATATATATATATATATATATATACTTAATTCTGTGTAAAAATATATATATATATATGTGTGTGTGTGTGTGTGTGTGTGTGTTTATTTAACATTAAATTTTGAAAAATTCGGAAATTTACAAAAAAATATATTTGTCACAGAATTATTTACAAAATCGTATTTATCATAGACTCTTATGATTATCAACTCTCTAGCATAAGACGACTTCGCCCCGGTCTCCCCTACACTATCAATTTAATAATAAAATAATAATTTTAATGTATAATATAATTTAAGGTAATAACATAGTGGAGATTTTGTTATACATCATATAGATTTTAAATAAATAATTACAAATATATTACATATATTAGATTAGATGGGATTGTATCTATTGCTGAATTATATAACGCGTGTTTCTCACTCTCGCGATAACTCATGTAATAAACAGGCCGTTAACGTGTTAAAGCGCGAAGGTTCACGCAGGTTATCTTATGAAGGACGCGAAAATGCGAAGGCGAGCGACAAGGCAGAAGAATCGTCATCGACCGACGGCAACGGCTGGAAAAATGCCGGGAACGAGGACATGAGATAAAGGAAAGTCGATCGGAATGGCGGCCGGAAACCGGAAGAAGATCACACGCGGGCCGAAAGAACTAGAGGATCGTTATCGCCGGGGAGCGTGCCAACGCGAGCTTGGCTGACCTCGTTTTGTCGTCGTGTCTCGATAATCACCGGCATTCTTCACCGTACGACTGCCTGCCAGCCAGTCTGCCTGCTTGCCTGCTTCTCTAGCTGTCTGTGACATACTCGCCGTTTTCATCTTACGTCTCTAGCAGCGATTTTTCTTCGCAACTTGATGTCCCGATAAGACAAACAATCGTTCTGATCCGAACGATCAATCTTAGGCAGGACTGTAAAGTTACTTTCGCGATCTGTAAGAACCCGGAAAATGATAAACACATTCTAGATCAAGGTGGTACAAAGTTGCAAAGGTGGTACAAAAGTTCACAATTTTTCTGTTAAAAAAAGTAAAATTCGAAACTTGTTATTTTCTCAAAGAGGAAGTCGACTCAAGACTAATTAAAGAAATCTTCAAATAAAGAATACGAAGTCTCGAAGAATTTGCGGATAAGAATAATGTTATATTCTTTAGACGGAATTTTGAAAGTAATTTTTATTAAATAAATTTTCCAAAGACATTAGACCTCGACGGCAGGTGGAACGCGATTGAGTAAACTGCGCAATCTCCCTATCAGGACATTGACGCGAGTCTTTCTTTCTTTCTTTCCACGGTAAACACAATAGATAAAAGATTGAGGGGACAAGAAGAGAAAGAGAGAGACTCGGTCGAAGACCCTGATGAGATGCATCAAAGCAATATTTTTATAATTCAAGTAGCCTCCTTCGATCGTCAGCTTGACCTATTCCGAAATTTACAAATCACTTGAATCGATTTAAAACAACTTCAGATTTTACATACAAAAAAAAGTATTATTCTATTTGGCAAAAATATTAATCTAAATTTAAAAAAAAAATTTAAAAAGAAATTTAAAAAGTAAAAATATTAAATTAAAGGATAATTCTAAAACTCTTCATAGTTTTACAAATTATGTTTTATTATAAAATCGATTATTGATATGCAAAGAACAAAAAACAAATTAATGAAGATTATACTCCAGAGATACGATCCACGTTGACGTGGATTCGGAAAAGCAAGCGCGCAATTTCGAGAGGAAATGATTTCGGAGGAAATGGCGGTATTTAGCGGAAAACATCTCCTACGTATCACGTTTACCATGAAACGGATAATGTGAGTTTTATTTAACTACGTATTTAACCGCAGGAGCACGATAAAAAACAGTAATGTCATGAAACAAAGTGCAACGGTAATGATGCTATACACACGATGCTGTGTAATATCACACTTACCGATAAACACTGATAATTTTTTAGTATCGCGTATATATATGTATAAGTAAAAGAACCTCCAAATATTCGTGAATGTTCCTCGGTGCGGAAGGAATTGTCAGTGTAATTGTTTTTAAATTTTGATGAAGATCTGACGTACGTTACACTAAACAGGGACGGAAAAAAAAACAAGTCTTTAAAAAGTTAATCTCTCAATAAATTCCGAATCGATTAACTGTTATTTGTAAAACACCGAATTGCTTTCTCGCTTAGTAATCGTATCAAATTTCTTAGAGCGCGCATTTGATGGTCAATAAGCGACATGAGTTCTAAAAATTATTGTAAAATGGATGATTTATCTAATCTGTTGACCGGACGAGTTTCATTATTTATACTATTTATAGATTCAATCAACGCGCTCTTCTCGATCCGCTCGTATCTATAACTTATGTATCCAGACGAAAATCTGCATGCACGTACACTCAAGACCGCGGGTTCCGGAATTCTTTGCTTTCGGGAAAAAAAATAAGAAAGAAAGACGAAAAAACGAGGCAAAAAAGAGAAAGAAAATCGACCATGATGCTGCAACTACCCACTCGCGCGGGTATTTTCTGAGTCGTAAAGGTTTTTCCTTCTTTCTTATCCTCGCATCTGACGGTTTACAATTCTGCTTATAATATCGTATTTCGAAACGATCTGAAAGATTTAACAAGCATAAAGATTGTCCAATTTAACTACTATCTCATTTAACTTTTCTTATTTTAAGGTAATTTAACAAATTTTATTGGAAAAGGTCATTCTATATGCTACTGTGTATTATATTTTTATCTTGCATCAATCAAAGACTTACGATTTCTTTAATTTTATTTATCATATGTATCTCTTACTATTTTATTCAAAATAAATTGTAGATACCCACATCTATGACAAAAGATGTTCAAAATTACAAATATTTGGAATCATTATATTCTCTTCATTACGGCGTATGTGTGTTTTGCTCTTGAAATTAATTTTAAATATTTATAATATTTATATCCTTATATATTCTTAAGGATAAATAAAGGAAGAAATAAAGCATGCTTCAGGGAAAACGTACGCGAAGCACTGCAGTACAGTGCTATAGAACGCAAATTCTTCTAACCGGGCCATCTATCTACTTGCATTAAAGTTGTACTCGTTTCTTGAACCTAGACCGTGAAATATATCGCGCGCGTACCTTGCGGCATGAATCAACCTGGCCGGGGCACTCAGGGGGTTTTCCGGAGCGCGGACTAGATGCAAATAATTCACTCCATATGCTAATCGCATCTAAATCGGTACACCGATGACTCGCCCTCGCACGCTATATCGAGGCTGTATCGATATCGTTTATACTGTTACAACGTAACTTATTCATTGTTAAAAAGAATTTTTATATCTTTCGACACTTACCACATATTGGTAAGTGTCGAGCTATGAATAATTTATTCAATTATTCATAGCTCGATTGTTTCCATTATTAAGAGTTATTTACTAGTTGATTTTATAAAACTTACTTTACATAATTTATCGGTAATTGAGTTTACACTTGTACTTCGCAGGTCCTTAATTAATCACGCTAAGAAGCTTTGAAATCACGTTTAAGATCGGAATTCTATTAAGAGCAGAGTAATTATACAAATTTAAAATTAACTACTAAATGAGATTTTATATAGCTCTCATTTGAGTTCCTGGAATTTAATTGACCGAATTCGCCCGTTTAATTTGCAATAATTATTTATCGATTAAAATGTATACAAATGTATACACTTTTTATTGTCTCTAGGCTCAATATAGTTTCAAAAGTATCAGATAGATTTATATAGACAGATTCCCATTTCGGTGTTTTTTTTAGTTGTATTTAATTTTTTTTTTACAAATTCCCATTTGTTGCTTGTTCACGAAATTCGGAAAAAGAAATTCTATTTCGCGCTTAAAAATTGCGTTATCCGCTTTTTTGTGAATATTGATACAAGCTAAATTCTTGACATCGACAAGTTTTCAATTGGGAGCAACCTAAACTCTGGTTCTGGCTGGCAATTTTAAAACGTGACACGGCACAATTCGCAACATGTCCTCTGTCCGTTGCGAAAAAAGTTCGATCCCAAATTCAAGCGTCGCGTCGTGCGCTTCCGTTCGCACACACATCGCCGTTATACACAAAAAAATCCGGTATGTATCCTCCCTCGTTTCCGTTCCCTTCTCCTCTCCCACACGCATTTAGACATGCGTATACACAGACACACGTTCACATGCACACAATTTCTATATTTCTCATAATCGTTTGTAATTTCGATGTAAAAGTAAATTTTCTATCAAAGATTACCCCTATTTAATCCTTTAATGAAAAAAATTTATAATTTATTTACAAAATTTAAAAATTTCTTTTATCAGTGCTCCAGAATTATTGTGCAAGACTCTCTGCAAATTTTATATATTTCATTATTTTAGTTTCAAGTTGCGTATGGCAATCAATGAAAACACGTTAAGAAATCCAGAGATTAATTTATATTCTCGAATTTAAACAAAAACAGATTTTTGGAAGCAATAGCCAAAATGCTGTGCTAAAGAATCGTCTCTTCATCGCTGAATTATAGTTGTCACCATAATTTCCACATCTTAAAACCAAAATAACTATATCCTGCACATTGGCAGACGGTTACGATAACGTTGCAATTGCACCAGGGACCAACTATTTTCAGACAAAGCCTCGTGAACGTACAATGTTGCAATCGGTGTGGTTCGCGCTATCATCTCCGCGCCGCCGCCGCCGACGACGACGACGTCATTTCCTGTCCCCGGCGGCGAGATCAATCGCGTTAATCCCAGGAGGATTGCGAATACGCACTTGTGCACCCCTTTCGAACGGAGAAGCACCCGCATGCGAACAGCGCGCCGCGTGCCGCGCGACTGACGCCCGACGCCCGTCTCCTTCGAGGGCCCACTCTGTGTGATACCTCCACCTCTCCCGCTGCCCTCTCTCTGCACGAGAATCCGTCCTCGTCTCACTCGCGGTCTGAAGAAAAAAAGAAAGAGAGAGAAAAGAGAGAGTCCTTTTCCCAAAGGAAGCAAAATAGTATTCATATACATATATCTATCCTTCTATCTCTCTCCCCCTTCCTCGCCCCTCTCCTTCTCTCTCTTTCTTTCAGTCTCCCTTTCTCTTTATTTCTATCTTACTATGCATGAAAGAATTGCTGGAGCGAAAACATGTGATTGCGACACGTGCAAATTGACAAGCTTTGATCCCCGCGATTACTGTAAGTAAAGAATTCTTTTCGCGTGAAATGTGCTGCAAAATTCTCTAGGATTGGATAATTTGTTTTATATCTGTAGTCTGTATCAATAATCCGTTTCCAATTCCCGCGAGGCGTGTTTATTTGTAACATAAAGAGATTAAAATTAATTATTAAAGAATATATAACGTGTGTTTTGCTTCATTTTTAAATCAGTCCATCAGCACATGTGAAATTGAATAAAATTCCGTCGAATTATTATTTACTTATTTGCACGACCGCTCCTTCGTTGCTGTTGTTGTTGTTGTTGTTGTTGTTATAGATTATTTATTTGTTTAACATTGATTTATTTATTTACATTACATCTATTGTATCACTGTTACCAGATTTATTAGTATTTTCACGTTTATTATTTGCGCAAATAAACAAAAAATTAATTTACTTAGGCAGATTTGTTCACAATTAATTGAAATTGATTTTATATTACTTGCAGCAATGACGATATATAGTCTCATTTCTCATTAGGTTAATATACAATTTTATCATAAATTTGTAGAAAACTTATGATGACAGTTTAAGCAAATAAGTGAATTATAATAAGAGCATGCAGATGTTTGCAAAATCTAATAAACATATTCAACAGAAGTAATAAAGACATGAAATTTTTAAAACCACATTTTTATTTAATGTCCCCTAAAAAGTATGTCAGGTCTCAGAAGACCAAAGTTACACAGCGTAATTTATATGCACGATGCCCATAAAGAAAATTGAAAATTACATGCGCAATAAAATGTCTTTGTAACGGAAGTTCAATTATCGAAACTTCGAAATTGTGTGTGCCTATAGGTGTTTAATTACGAAAAATTAAATATATAGGTAGATAGCAATATTAAATTTATCGAGGAATTCAAATAAAAATCGAATAAAAAGCGACGAATCCTGGCATAATCCTGCATAATTGTCACAATTATGCAGAAAAGAGTCCATCCACGCTGCAAAATTGAATACCTTTTCGACCGTATCTCCAGAAAACATCTCGGTATGCCTTTCACGAATGATGCGGAATCTAGGTTGAATATTAATGCCATTAAAACCAATTGAATTCAAATAAAAGGATGCAAATGCAGAAGACCCCGCGTATATCTTGGCGCTCGTTCAAGAATTTTCGCCCTTTCCTCGCAAATCGCGCATCTTCCTTTGCCAGGCGCACACGCCAAAAGGAACGTATGACTTACATAAGTTCGAAGTTTCCGTATTCCAGTCGCCGCGAAAGTAATTTTGTCCGACATGGAGATTTTAGGAATCTCCTACGTAATTTAAAAGGAAATGAGGAGAGACGGGAAGAAATATCGGAATCCGGAGTAGCAGTATAATGAAGCGCCGCGCGCCAGCTTATTCGTCGCTTTTATCTCCTGATCCCGCGCTTCAATATTGATTAGCCTTTAAGATTTTATTCTTCTCTTAGTCTTACTCCGACTTACTTAATTCCCTATCCTTCTAAATATTATCAATTCCATTTTCTTTATTTTCTACCCTCTAATTTTATTCTCAAATTATAGATCGCAATTTTTTTTATTTTAATAATAAATGATAATATCTGTATTTAAAACGTAAAGCCAAACGTAAAGCACTAACTTTTCGTAAGTACTTTTCTCTCAAAAAAGTAGATTGCAAATTATTAATATTATTATTACACAGGAAATATTACGTATTATTACAAAAACTCGAATTATTATATATTATAAATTACAAAAACTTTTTAAATAAAACTTTACAAAATCCGGGGGCACATCTACGCTCCATGTCGCCTCCGTCTCCTTCCGCACACCCACTCGTTCTCATTCGATCTCGGAATGGGAGGGCCCGTGTTCGTAAGCGTTAGTGAACGGGTATTCGGGTGGCATGAGTGTTCCGGTGTCGCACGGCGCGCTGGCGCGCTCGAAAATGGTAAAAGCGATTTGTTGAATAATTGACAAGATAAACAACGTTCTCTCTCCCGGGACTACCTAGGATCGATTCTATTAAAACGGACGACCCTGGAAATGCAAATGGGGAATTATGTGCCCTCCGTGTGAGTCCGAGCTATTATTCGACGCGTCGCTCGAGCCGCGCCGCATGACGTCGTCCGGAAAATTCATTAACTCGCACGTGTGGAAAAAGATAAGTCTGGAGTGGACAAAAATGCAAATGCAAATGAAGGCGCACGAGAAACCGCGGGCTTTCTATTAGATCTATTCTTCCGTTTCTCGTTGGCTGTGTTCTTTTGAAATGGGCTCTCTACATCTTCTCGAAATTTCTATTTGTCTTCTTTCTTTCAATAACATGAAAGTACATTAGAGATTAATTATAGAGCCATTAATTAAAATGTGCCTTTAAATGAGCAATACTCGTGCTGGCGATAATTGCTTATCCTAACCACGAATTTTTCTTTAGATTGCTCTTATTATTTTTATCTTTTTCTTTATTCTTACCTCTATCTACATACTTTTTAATTCTTTAATTTCTATAATATTTTCTATATTATTATTCGTACTTTTTGCACTTTTTATTATAAATCTAATTTCAAGTTGTTAAATAATCGGTTTTTAATGCCAAATAATATTCTATATTTTGTGGCTAGATCACCTTTTCGATCAAAACAGAAGAAAAATGAACGCGTTTATTAAATGCATTTATCGCGTTAATTCATGACGAGTATAACGCGACAAATGCATTACAGCATGAAAAAATAAATTGCCGAGGAAGACGCGGAAAAATTCGCCCGCGGAAAAAAGTCATTCCGATGTAAATAAATGGAAATGCGAGAGCACGCGCAGCGTTCGAAAAACGAGGGTAAACTTAATAAAATACGTGACGTTTTCCGTAATTCCGTTTTATACATATACATGATGCACATATGTGAATACTTGGGGAATTGTATAGGTATACGTAATACGTGAGTCCCCGATAACGAACGGCTGTCGAACGCACCTGATCCTTCCTTAACGATACTCGCAGGACACCTTGTCCTTTTCTCTGGCCTCTGCCCCCCTCCCTCCCCTTCCTATGCGCGATCGATACAGCAACAAGGAGGAAATTAATTCAACATCGCATGTTAATTAGAACATAGTCGATAGGAGGCTATTTGTATATCACAGAAAACGTATTGACTGGATATCTATGTAGGGTAACTCGGGGAAATATGCCACACTTAAGAAAAATATAATTTTTTTCCTATTTCTCTTTCTTTTTGAGGTATATTTTCATACTGGTCTTCTTTTTCCTTCCTTTATCTATTATTTATATATGGTTTTTTAATAAAATATTTTGATTGTTCACTATTACAAAAAAAGAAATACAAAAGTGTTGCAAAGTGGCATATTACCCACGGGTATGTGGGTAATATGCCACATATACAAACATGTATAGTAATTTAACTTTAGAAGGGCATTCTTGTGTGTTTAAAAACATGTAGAAGAATATTTTTATTACTTTCTTTGCATTTCAAAGTACTCTGTGTGCTGCAAGTAGTCTAAATTATTCGAGCATGCAATTTTGCAAAATATTAAGTACGTAGCCCATAATATTCTTAGCGCATAAAATAAATGTGTTTATTCAACATTTCTCAATGTTTTTTCATCATTTTTTCAACATTTTTTCAATATTTATACGGCAAAATATTTATTTATACTGTTTACAGCTTCCTAACCTACTAGTAGGTTAGGAAGCTGTAAACAGTACTGGCGTACCCCTATGTAAGTAGTGGCATATTCCCCCAAGATGCAGTTTTATATTAAAATGAGCCTGTATTATACGATTGCCAGTAAAACGAATCGGCGACGTACTGAATACTTTCATCCTAACCAATATTAATAGAACGACAAGCTGATTGAGTTAAAAATAATGTAATGCTTGAAGAATATCTTATATAAAACACTAAGAAAATTCTAAAAAGTACGTTGTCATACATACTGTACTTACCCCATAAAAACTATAATACTGACAGGAAGTAAGTAAAACTTGGGCAAAACGTCAGATATAATATTTTTAACAATTTCACAGTATTTACAACAACGCTCTTAGCCGTAGCTTTGTTAAACATAATGAGTGGCATATTCCCCACACTGGCATATTCCCTCCAGTTACCTTATATAGAGCACACAATTAGAGCACATTAAAATATTGAAAAATTTTTTCTTTGCTTTCCTTCATTTCTTTTCATTTTATGAGAAAAATCCATTTTTCATGCAAAAATTGAAGAAAATAAAATCTGATATTTTATTCTTCTATTTGTTTATTAATCACATGATAAACGTACGAACATATAGATACAATTTATTAAATGCGTTTATATTTTGGGAATATATGTTAATTCTCTGTTATTGATTTTATATAAAATCCGTTTAATTAGAGAACTCGAAAATGATATGCCACAAAGTGATAGTAATACAGTTCATAATATAATTACTAATGCAGCCATATATAATCTGATTTTACGAAATATCAGTTTATTACACTGTGTTTCATTATACTCCTTATCATATTATAAGTATCTATTATATTTTAATAGGTATTTATTAATTTGAAAGCTTTCGATATATTTTTTGCACTATTCACAAATATAACAAGCATATCACACCGCATGCCATAATCAACCCACGTAATTAACAAATTAATT